CATGGCAGTAAGTGGGAGTGCAAGCGAGCAGCTATGCACTTCTACGCAGCTTCTTTTGGGACCCATTACGTCTCCATGGTCCTAACTTTATTCAATTTTATCCACAAATCTTATTTTCAAAATAATTCCTGATAACCTGATGATAGAAACATTATTTTAAATGCCATAGGTCGTCGTTTTGCTTTAAATAATTTTCAGACCTATCTGCACATTCATTTCATAGTTTATCAAATGAAATAAGTAACTTCCAGCCCTCTACCCATTTGACCTGCGGGAGCACTGAAGCAGTCCATTACTTTTCTATTGTGATAAGATCTCAGGTTTGTCACTTTCCATTCTATATGAGGCCTTTTGGTTGCTTTATTCTTTGGTTTTTGCATAGCATTCTAAGTGGGTTGTCTTTTGTTAGTGGCCGGTTTATTCACTGTCGCATTAAACATAGCTTACCCTAGCCTTTTTGCCGAAGTGATGTGTCATCCAAGTTTTTTTCTCAATTTATTGTCGTCCTCTTTTTGACTTTATTGCTATGACGTTCAATTTTTGCAGATGTTTCTTTGTAATTTTTTAACAATCACGGATGACTGAAGAGAATGTTAACAACATTCGTTGGGATTTGGACGTCAGGAATCTTGACGCCTCCTTGTAAATGCATTTTCTTGGAAGTTCGTCTTATTGTGTACTACTAGGCGAAATTCGAAATGGCAGGATAAGATGATTGAGTGCACATTCTCAGATGCTCTTTCCATTCTTCGCGAAATCGAGTTGAATACTGACAAGGATTTTTTAACCAGTAAATATGCCTGTGAAATTATTACCCATGGTACCACAGCACCCGAGTACAGCTACGTTGTAAGACGTTTTATTTTAATTATCTGAAATTCTTTAGAAGGTTAAGGACCTTGTTCAGAAAGCCATCTCAACTTACAGTGATTTGTTGGACGATTCATTGGTAGCGACTGAGGACAGCAAATTGACTGCTAGAATCAAGGGACACTCTCTTTTCTCACTCATTCGGTACAACCCTTCTCGCCTAAAGGATGAAAATCTGCTACAGTTTGTTTTTTACCAAGTAACTTTCTAATGCAATTCTCACTTTCACTCGTAGTTGATCTGTCTCCTCGAATGCTTCCACCGACGAGGCATCCCGTATTTGAATCTGGAACCCATCAGTATTTTTGTGGATGATTTATTTCGTGTTAGTCTTGCACCTCCATGTGTTTGCAAACTGGGCGAGTTCGCATGCTTTGAGACTAATCAATCTAACCCTTTGAAAGAAACTTTGCCCATTCAAAACTCAGTCGAATTTCATGAGGTCTTGAGTGGATGGATTACTGGAAAGGTAAGCACATTATGGGTAACTTTGTATTCACTTAATTGGGCATAAGTATTCTTATATGCGCGATACCTCACCGTCTAAACATTAGGAATTGTCCATGCTTTTGTGAGCTTCTGAAAAGAAATATCATTTAATCCAACCATTTTGTAATACACGAGATAATGCGTTTTCAGAAGAACAAGTGGTTGGTGAGTTGCCAAGCCTTGCTGGTGTACAGACGCGTCATATATCTGAAAAGGAAATTTAAAACCTCACATACATTTTTAGCTGTTGCCCTTTTCATGATTGTTATTTCACTTAGGTCACAGTATCGCACTATAATTCATCGAAATTGCATTCAATCTGGCAGAGAGCCTTCCCTCTCCTCCCGAGCCTTTTTCTCCTAGGTTCTCATCTCTTTGGTGCAGTTGCGTCACTTGCACTTAACTTGCCATTTACATTCCTGAACGTATCATGTTTATTAAACACGGTCATAATTACCTCCACCAGTCACCCGAAATTTTAAAAGATTATTCCCATTAAGATGACTTCTTATGCCCAACTAGGAGTCTTCAGAATGTTTTACCTCCTGGGTTATGAATCCTACCCTTTTTGTGTGTGGATCCTTATGTTGACTACCACGTCTGCCACACTGCTAGGTTCTACGTTCCAGTAAAACTTTATGTATTTAGTCATGGAATTTCTCCTTTTTCCATTTTTTGTACGTCTAGTTAATTTCTGCTTTTTCATTATTGATAAGCCTTGAACTTCAAGGGAAGTTTCAAATGGCTGAATTTCAGTGGTCTTGGCTAACTACTTAGGTTACTTTTCCTGAATCGAAAAGGGTCACTGAACCCACTTTGACTAATAATAATACCTGTGAGGTACTAATACCGTTCAGGTCGCATATTCTACCAAAAAATGTCTTCTTTACCACTACCGTCCTTTCCTTCGCAGGTCTCAAATTACGACTACCTAATGTACATAAATCATCTCGCAGGTAGAAGAGCGGGTGACCCCACGGCCAGCGCCGTGTTACCCTGGGTAACAGACTTCTCTTCCCCTCAGGATGGGGCGCAGCATTTGCGCGACCTAACTCGCACCAAATTTCGCCTGACAAAGGGCGAGCGCCAGTTAGATGCCACCTATCTCCACCTTGAACATTCGGATTCGTCGTCTTTAGCCGGGGAGAGCGGCAAAGTGGAGCCTTTTCTGCCTCACCATATCCTTGATATGATGCCAAATCTCGCCTACTACACTTACAAGGTACAGTGCTGCTGGCGTCACGTCAGTCCCGACATATGACAATTGAGTTTATTCAAGTAACTGTGGGAGGTTTCATTTTCGATTGAACCTTTTGGACGATGGGATTGTAGACCAAGTTTCTGTACTATCGTATCTCCATCAACAAACGAAATCCTTAGCTAAGGTATTGAATGCACCTTTCTTATCTTAATGGTGATTTTTTATACTTGTAGGCAGAGGATAAACCCCAAAAGGGCGTAGCAAACGATGGAGCATTAAGTTTATGTCTATTGCCGTTCACAAGGGACTGCCCATTGCCGTGCTGGAGGTGTGGTCATCAGCTGCGTTGTTTCGCAAGGAATACACGGTTTATCATTGTTTAGGCTGTTCATAGACTTGATTTCAGTGTCATAGTTTCCGCCTTTTTTTGTAACAGCAAATTGACCAGATCTGAAGACGTTTTTGCGATAATGGATGCTGTAAACTAAATAACCATGTAGGCGACAGCGGTCGCTCAGTTTTAGGGCTTCATCCATATTCAGTCAGCATGACATATGTATTCCTCATATTGTCTTTGAAAAAAATCTGTCACATAACCTTGAGATTAACTAATATTGCTTC